ATTGTCGGATATATATATATATATATATATATATATATATATATATATATATATATATATATATATATATATATATGGGTGTGTGTGTGTAAATTAATATGTATATAAATGTATATGTATTTTTTAAAAATCGAGTTCATCCCAAAGGAAGACAGTAAAGCCACTAAGACACAAAGGATTACTGGGTGTGGAAGAATTAGAAACATTATCAATTAGCGAGACCAAAAAAGAGTAAGATGAAAAGCAGTTCCATAAGTTTCCCAGTGCGAGAAGTGCGAAAAAAATAAATTGTTAGCATAGAATTTACGACTGCATCTAGCCAGCTCAATTGTAAATTGATGATACAGTGTAACCCGGATATAAGAGAGTTGTCGGGACCGGAGAAGAAGTCTCTTATATCCGGGTTTCTCTTATATCCGGGTTTGGTCTATTTTATATACATTAACACAGGCTCTAATTTGGGACCAGAGAAAATCTCTCTTATATCCGGGTTTCTCTTATATCCGGGTCTCTTATATCCGGGTTACACTGTATCACGACGCCAGTCTGGTCTTCTTCTTTTATGTGCAGGAAGTCTAGATAAATTGCAGGGGTACCGAAACATATGTGGCAGCAATATTCTAAGCATGGACTAATGATAGACTTATAGATATGTAAGATAAATTCTCTCGCACGACACAGCGAAAGGACTTTCTTAACAGCTAACCAAGAAATGGATTCAATAGAGTCTTTTAACTTCATGTCAGCCAAGAATATCAGCCCGAGAAGACACAACAAGTCACTTTCCTGGAAGTTAGCATCAGGCATGCTGATTGAAGGCAGAGGGAGGTCTCTCAGATGATAATGAAGAACGGTTTAGTCTTGGAGGCGTTAAAATTAACAAGCCCCAGTTAATAACACCGAAGATCGTTTTGAACATCAGCTGCTATCGATCGGATAAGACGTACTACCCAGACAGGAGTAAATGGTTGTGTCATCAGCGTAGATACCTAGTTTGGAGCAGATACCATCGAGAACATCATTGATAAAAATTAAAAACAAAGTAGGACCAACAATGGAGTCCTGGAGAACAATTTCATCAATACGAAAGGATCTAGACGAGTGGCCATTTAGGATAACTTTCATTTCACTAGTTCAGTTCAAAGATTTGTCTGTAGACACCGTAACTTTTCACGTTATGGAGAAGACTTGTATTTCTGTCGAAACCCGGGTTTCACCATTCTTATTTAGAGCTTGATAGACTCTTTCTTTCAAATGAATTCGCCTAGATAAAAAAGAATATTCTAAAATTCCCAGCGCCCCTCTGTCGTGCGCATGTGTAGTCCTACCAACATAACAAATTTAGTCCGATGAAGTTCTGAAGGACGAACCACGTCACAAGTAAACTTTTTTTCACTTTGCCATACAATTTCCCAAATACTGTTCTTGATATATAAAAAATATATCGTTATCTCATATATATATATATATATATATATATATATATATATATATATATATATATATATATATATATATATAGCGTACAGCGAGTGCTGGTAGTAATAATAAAACAGTGCTTGATGCAAAATAATAGAGCTGAAGTGCATACTATATATATATATATATATATATATATATATATATATATATATATATATTTGTGTATTTAGTCAGGAATCCTCTTTTATACAAGTTTCGTTAAGGACGACTGACAAGGCTTTGTGATTAAGCTTTTTATTTAATTAAGTTCTGCATACGGCTATTCGTTTAGCCGTTATCAAGGACGATTTTTATTATTTATTTTGATTACACCTCTCTGACCATAGCTCAATTAGGACTCATTTAAACACACCCGGAACATATTAAACTCCATTCGCAATACAAGGATAATAGCCTCATCCACATGTAAGAAAAAGATTAAAAATAATAGAAGCACGAATAATAAAAAATAAAATGCAAACACTAAATAACGTTGATCTCGGACACAACGTCCTTGATAAAGGCTAAAAAAATAGCCGAAAGAACTTTGTGTGCGTGTGTGTATCTGTGTGTTTGTGTGTGCGTGTGTTAATTAGTTAGGTCTACCTGACACATGGTCGGGTCATCGGCAACTAAACCGTCTCCTCCACCAGACTTTAAACATGAGGAGGATGACTACACACTTTGCAGGGTGAAAAACAAGTGTTGTCAAAGGGCAGATGAACATTCTTCTCGAGTCAACGGTCATCTAGCACAATGGGGCAGACTGAGTTCCTTAGCTATGTATACAGCCAGTGCGATGATGACCCAACATCGGTCGACTTCCTCGTCTGAAGTCATAGCGGAGGATTACCCCCCCTACCCCGTTGAAATCAAGGGAGAAGGTTTGGTTCCGCCAATTCTACTTTACTAAAGACACGCTAAGAATGAAGGAATACATTTCCGGATTTCGACCATGATAATAGGAAGGGAATTGATTACCTGCGTAGCAACCCTTCGACCACTCCAAGTCATGAGATGGATGATGATGATGATGATGATGATGATGATGATATAGATTTCATTGATTCTATCATTTTCTATAATCACCACGGTAGCATGTTTTTCACTCCTGAAGCATCATAATTTTATGTAACGTTTTCTGTGCTTACTTGATATACTGGTTATTTGATTTATGTTTTATTTCAATGATTTACATTTTTTATTCTGGAAATAACTCTTCCTTGTTGAGTGGACTTTTGTTGACACTAATTAAGGCCCCATTTCGCAATGTTCCGACATCCATTTTACCTGTTCATACGGTTTCCGTCTGTCATGGACATTGTTCCCCGCGATCAAATGACTAAAATCTTGGCTCCAGCAGGAAGTAAGCTGAAAAAGCGCACCACCAACGTATTCAAAGAAAAGGCAGAAAATTAATTCCATTCAGGTCGAATTCCAGGATCATTCGTTTCTCTTTTCCCCCTTTTTTTCCCTTTCTCTTTTACCCTTTCTCTTTTTCCCCTTTCTCTTTTACCCTTTCTTTTTTACTTTCTCTTTTTCCCTTTCTCTTTTAACCTTTCTCTTTTTCCCCTTTCTCTTTTCCCCTTTCTCTTTTCCCCTTTCCCTTTTCCCCTTTCTCTTTTCCCCTTTCCCTTTTACTCTTTCTCTGTTTCCCTTTCTCTTTTACTCTTTCTCTTTTTTCCCTTTCTCTTTTCCCCTTTCTCTTTTACTCTTTCTCTTTTTCCCTTTCTCTTTTACTCTTTATCTTTTTCCCTTTCTCTTTTTTCTAATTTTACTGATACATCCTGTCTTTCTTTTTGTTTTAGTACCGAAGACAATCTTCCATTTTAGTTTTACCTTCTCTCTTCTTTTCTTTCCCTCGTCTTGTCTTCACTATTGTCAACTGCATTACATTTGTAAGCAAATGTCCATCCACAATCCAGTTTTCAAAAGGAGCGGAGTATTTCGTGAAGGACACAATGCTTTTATTTTTATTCTTATAGGAAATTTATGAAAAAAAGAAAAGTTTTTTTTTCTTTATTATTTGTTAATGTTTGTAAAATTAATTTAGCTCAATTTACAAAGTTAGATTTAATTATGTTTTTTTTTATCGGACCATTCACATATTATTTTGAATTTAATTTTAATGCTTTTGTCAAGTATCTACTTGGCATACTTTGGTCTGATTCAAAGCCACAAATGTACGACAGCAGTAGGCTCGAACGCTAAAGTAATAAAAGTCTGCGAGACTACCATGCTAATTACAATTCCACATAATTAACTTTACTTAGTCTGGCAGAAAGTCACTAGTGTAAAGCACCCAGTGATGATCAGTCTCTCTATAGTACTAATAAACTCTTTTCTAACCGTGACTTCACGTCTAGTTTTTAAAGTCGTAAAAAGGAGTCACAAGTTTGTGATTTTTTTCATTCATGCCTTTTGTTTTTCTACGTGATATGAGGTATTGGCAGTAGACGTTAAACACTTCTTTCTTTCTTTCTTTCTTTCTTTCTTTCTTTCTTTCTTTCTTTCTTTCTTTCCAAATCCTCGTCTTGCGAACATTTCTTTTAATAATAATTTAGCAATAATTCAGCAGACGATATGTTTTATTTATGGTAACTGGTTTTTGGCGATTGCTTTACTCGATTTCCGTCGTTCGATACAGTGCGTTTGAAAAATGGCTTCTGTCTTCTTAATTCCTGTTCTTTTTTTTTTCATTCTCTCCTTAATGGTTTTTTTTTTTATCATAGTCTTTCACATTCAGTCTTGCGTCTTAGTGGCTTTTTCGCATTGA